CTTACTCTGAATAATCAGATAGGCTCAGTAGAGAAGAGAATCTTAGCATAGTGACCTTGGCAGTTGAGAGAGAACACTTAGTCTGTAGCTGTGGGGCGATAGCTGGGTCCAGGCTTACTTACTTAGTTATAGAAAGCATATTGCCAACTGCTGAACTATGGTGGTGCACACCTTTATTAATCCCAGCACTTTGGAGGCAGAAGCAGATGGATCTTTGTGAGTTCGAGGTCAGCCTGGTATACAGTGCAAGTTCCAGGACAGGCTCCAAAGCCACAAAGAAACCCTGTCTTGAAAAACAAAACCAAAACAAAACAAAATGCATATTGCCTAGGAGCCAATAAAAATGTTTTTATTTCTTTTGGAATTCAAAGCAAGTGTTGTATATAAGATGGCTTGGGGGCTGGAGAGATGGCTCACTGGTTAAGAGCACTGCCTGATCTTCCAGAGGTCCTGAGATCAATTCCCAGCAACCACATGGCAGCTCACAACCAACTGTAATGAGATCTGATGCCCTCTTCTGGCCTACAGGGATACATGCAGACAGAACACTGTATACATAATAAATAAATCTTTTAAAAAAGATGGCTTGGATTGTCCATCTTTATACCAGTGCATTGATATATGCATATGTGCGCACACGCACATGTAGGGGTGTGCATGTGTGTGTGCCAGAGGTCAATGTCAATGTCTTCCTTAGTCTACCTTCCTGTTTGAAACAGGGTCTTTCACTGAGCCTGGGGCTCACTAATGTATCTAGAAAGCTCCAAGGGTCCATCTGTTGTGTTGTGTTCTGTCTTGTTCAATCCATATGTCCTATCTTTGCTGGCTAGTTTTTATGTCAAATTGGTACAAGATAGAATCATTTTGAATGAATCGAGAAGATACCCCCACAAGAATGCCCTGTGGGTAAACCTGTGATGCATTTTCTTGATGGTTAATGTGGGAGGGCCTGCTTAGTGTGGGTGGTGGTCCTGAGTGAGCAAGCTATGGGGAGTCAGTCAGTAAGGAGGATTCCTCCATGACCTCTGCATCAGGTCCTGCCTCTAGGCTTCTGCCCTGACTTCTGTGGATGAGGGACTAGAAGCTATAATGTAACATACCTCCTTTTGGTTGTGGTGTTTTATTATAGCAATAAAAACCCTAAGTCACTATCCTTCTCTTGTGCTGGGGTTGCAGATATAGGCTGCAGTACCTAGCTTCTTTGTAGGTGCTAGAGATGTGAACTTACTTAGGTCTTCAAACATGCACAGTAATCCTTTTCTGGGGCCATCTCTTCAGCCATATTTATAAATTAAATTTTATGGAGGGATGAAGTTGGACTCCTGCTGTATAGTATGCACAGATATTAACTCAAGTGTCAGTGAGATGGCTCAGTGGGTAAAGGCACTGACTGCCAAGCCTGATAACCATAGTTTGATTCCTAGGACCCACAGGTGGAAAGACAGAACTGACTCTCATAAACTGTTCTTTGGTCTCCATATCCGTGCCGTGACATTTACACCCTCCAAAATAAATAAATATTTACATATGTGCGTGGGGGTGGCATGGGCATTGCTGCCTTCCACCTGGTGGAGGGAGTGACCCAACTCCTGCAGGTTGTCCTTGCACTTTCACTGCTGTGCTGGGGCCTATGCTCCATTCACAGTAAAGATACGGAAATGTTTACAAAAGGTTACACATGTGGGGAAGGATGTGGTGAAATCGGAGCCATCACATACTGCTCTTAAGACTGTAAAATGTAGTTGCTATGCGAAAGTTTGGCAGTTCTCAGAAGATAAGTAGAGTTATCATGTGACCCAGCAGTTACACTCCTAGCTATGTTCTCAAGAAAAGTGAAAACATACATTTATATAACATTAGGGACAAGTGTTTATATAGCAACAGTATTTGTAATAGCTCAGAAGCCAGTGACCCCAATGTCTGCCAGTTAGTGGATGCAGAAATATGATATATCCGTATATTGGAATGTTGTTGGCAATCAAAAGAAGGGAACATGCTACAAATTGAATGAACCCTGAAAACAGTTATGCTATGTGAATGAAGCCAGCCACAAAAGATCATGTTATTGCAGGATTATATGAGCTATCTATATTAAGAAAATCTTGATAGTGGTAGAAAGTAAGTAGTTGCCATAGTCTGGAAGAAGGATGGAAAGTAACTGCAGTTATATGGTTCCTTTTTTGGGTTATTGTGGCCCAATTCTATGAATATACTAAAAACCAATGACTACTATGCTTTTTTTTTTCCTTTGGTTTTTCAAGACAGGGTTTCTCTGTAGCTTTGGAGACTGTCCTGGAACTCTCTTTGAAGACCAGGCTGGCCTCGAACTCACAGAGATCCGCCTGCCTCTGCCTCCCGAGTGTTAGGATTAAAGGCATGTGCCACTAAAGCCCAGCTTGACTACTATACTTTTAAAATGGGCTATTTTCTTACTGCTTGAATTACATAGTAAAATTGTAGTATTAAAATGAGTATTTTAATTAGTCATCAAATTGTTATTTTTTAATGAAAAGAACCAAGTGTAGAGATGCATATGCTTATAGATGCAGATTGTAAATATGAATACTGAGTATAGTAGCAGTACTTATCAAACTTTAGGGTGCATATATATCACTTCAGTATCATGCTAGACTGCAGATTCTTATGTAGGGAATTTTTGTGGATTCTGAAATTTTCTGTTTCATAATAAGCTTTTAGGATATGGGTATTACTGTATCTAGATACACATAGTCAAGTGTGGAGGATATTCTAAAGAGCCTTCCAAAACCCAGGAGGATTTGTTCAATGTCTTGTAGAGAGAATTTGATTTGGTGGCAGAGAGAGGCTTAAGAGACAAAGCTTATATAAGGACAGAGTTCACAGAGTGTATGCTGTTTGTGGAGGACAGCAGATCTGCTTGTGGATACTTAACTCTTGCACCTGAGAAAACATAGCCCTCAACTTTGATCATTTTCTGTCTTTGCAAAATTTTCTCTTTTCCCCTGTCTAGCATTTTTGGTTTAACTTCTTTTTAAATCTGGACTTAGGTAGGTTGTCATGACCAAGGACCTTGTGAGATCTGAGGAGCAGAGAGGTTGGTTAGCAATAAAACATTGTATGTATTTTTTTTATTGTGTGTTTTAGGTGTTGGTTATAGGCCTATCAGTTATTGCCCTTGCCCTAGAGCCTGTCTAAGTATCCACCTGAGCTTCAAACAAAGTACCTTCAGACTGAGTTAGTGCTTGGCCCCAGATGAACAGACTCCTTTAATGAGGTACCAAATAAAGATGTCTTTCCAGATGGTACAGGTTAATTATAGCTACAGTTACAGCTTTCCTTGTTTTTGCACTTGAACCAGAACAGTGATTTGAATGTAATTTAAGTAACCTTTTGGATCTGGACACAACTATTAAAGCGAGATCCTATGTTATTCTTAACACTTATACTGCTTTGTGAAGTGCTAATGATCTTTTAAGCCCCAAATCTAGTCTTAGCCTTAGGGCTTGCCCTTCTGATCTCTTCTCCCTGGGGCTCTGCAAGCATTGCTTACATGCTTCACCAACTTTGAGTAGTTCATACATATATCTATTCTTCTAGATGGAGTCAGAGGTCTTGTACTATTTTCAGGTGGCAGAAGTAAGACATAGATAATAACATATATTGTTCACTCTCAGAAACACTTCCATGTCTGATCCAGTATTCTGTGTTCATAGTTTGCCCTTCAATGGATTTTCTTTCTTGAGTTTGCACCTGTTTTATTTTCTCACATAAAGGTTTTTTTTAAAATTTAAATTAGAAAACAAGCTTGCTTCACATGTCAATCCCAGCTCCCTCTCCCTCTCCTCCTACCTCCTACCCCGCCCCTGCAACCCCCAATCCCTCACCCAATCCTAAATCCACTCTCCAGAGAGGGTGAGGCCCTTTCATGGGGATCTCCAAAGTCTGTCATATCGTGCTGGGGCAGGGGCTAGGCCCTCCCCCATGTGTCCAGGCTGAGAGAGCATCCCTCCATGTGGTATGGGCTCCCAAAGTCAATTTGGATGCCAGGGATAAATACTGATCTATTGCCTGAGGCCCCAAAGAATGATGAGACCTCTTCACTGACCACGTTCAGGGGGTCTGGATCAGTCCCATACTGGCCTCTCAGCTGTCAGTCTGGGGTCCATGAGCTCCCCTTTGTTCAGGTCAGCTGTTTCTGTGGGTTTCACCAGCCAGGCCTTGACTCCTTTGCTCATCACTCCTCTCTCTCTGCAACTGGTTTCCAGGAGTTTAGTTCAGTGGTTAGCTGTGGGTGTCTGCCTCTGCTTCCATCAGCCACTGGATGGAGGCTCTAGGATGGCATACAAGGTAGTCATCAGTCACATTATCTGGGAAGGGCATTTAAGGTAGCTTCTCCACTATTGGTTAGATTGCCAGTTGGTGTCATCCTTGTAGATCCCTGGAAATCTCACTAGTGCCATATCTCTCCTCAAACCTATAGTGGCTCCCTCTATTATGGTATCACTCACCCTGCTCTCCTCTATTTTTCCCCCAATTCAACTTTATTGCTCCCCCATGTCTTCCTCTCCCCTTTTCTTAGACTCCTCTCTTTCTCCAAGCTCCCTCTCACCTCCCCTTATGCTCCCATTCCCCTCAGGAGATTCTTCCCTGTTTCCCAGACTCTCTGGCGGTGGGATTGTAGGCTGGCACTCCCTGTTTCATGTCTAAAATCCATATATGAGTGAGTACATACCGTGTTTGTCTTTTTGTGACTGGGTTACCTCTCTTAGGATGGTTTCTTCTAGTTTCATCCATTTGCCTGCAGATTTCAGGATTCCATTGTTTTTTCCGCTGAGTAGTACTCCATTATGTAAATGTACCACAAAAATACGGAACGCGCCGGGTGGTGGTGGCGCTCGCCTTTAATCCCAGCACTCGGGAGGCAGAGGCAGGCGGATCTCTGTGAGTTCGAGGCTGGGCTGGAACGATAGCCTCCAAAACAATACAGAGAAACCCTGTCTCGTAAAAACCAAAAAAAAAAAAAAAATACGGAACGCTTCGTGAATCTGCATGTCATCCTTGCGCAGGGGCCATGCTAATCTTCTCTGTATCGTTCCAGTTTTAGTATGTGTGCTGCCAAAGAGAGCATTCACATGAAGTTTTTAAACATGATTTTTCTAGATGCTTTCTGGTATCAAATGCATATTCTCTCCCCTGATACTTTATAGGCACTTCCAAGTGTTTGTATACTCCCTTGTTTCAGCGTGTTCAGTTAGTGAGCTAGTTTGTTAGCATACTTAGATCATAGGAGAGGATTTTCCTCAATTACTTAGTTATTGACTCCTCAGTTCTTTGCTGTCCTCCTTAGATGATACAAAAGCAGTGTTGAGTATGTATTGATTCTGAGGCATCTTCCTGGTATATGGGAGAGGTGCAAGGTACACTAGGCCAGGCCAGAACTCGGGTGATGCATTCAAATGCTAAGTCCCAAACTTAAGGAAGCACAAAGTTATACAAATGCAGGATCAGTACCTAGACTATATTCCTTAAATTTTGAGCCCTAGATTCCTTGCTTTCACTGGCCTGGCTTGACCTTAAGCAGTTAGATAATTTGTAAATCATGTCTGAGATAGCATGATACTGTAAATGAATATTCTAGCAGAGTGTTTTTCAAATTTCACATTTATAAAAATCACTTTGAGGTCTTGTTAAGACTCAGATTCTGAGCCGGGCGTTAGTGGTGCACACCTTTAATCCCAGCACTTGGGAGGCAGAGGCAGTCATATCTCTGTGAGTTCGAGGACAGTGTGGTCTACAGAGTAGGTTTCAGGACAGGCTTCAGAGCTACACAGAGAAACCCTGTCTTGGGAAAAAAAAGTCAGATTCTGGGGCTGGAGAGATGGCTCACTGTTAAGAAGCTGATAACCAAAGGTCTGCATGTTGCTCTCCAAGAGGCAACTAGAACCCAAAGAGAGAGCGTCTCCTTCCTCCCAGCTCTTTTACTGCCCCGCCACTTTCTATGTACCTGTAACCACACCCAAACAGGCATGGTCAGCACTATGGGTATGTAAGATCTCTGTCTACAATTCCCCTTTTAGTCTAAAGAAAAGATTTAGACTTAAAACAAAACTAAATGTCTCAAACATATATAAAGCATATATACATAGAAGCTGATAAACAAATTATAATCAACTTATATCCTATCCTAAGCATATCTATCCCATCTAAACCCTAAACTTATCTGAAAGAGATGCCCAAGTCTGAACACCTCCTTCCAATCCCAACCCTAAATAATTGAAAGCTAACTCTAACAGGTGTAAATTATCCTGTAATATCAACAGTAGGGAAATGGGGTATAGTATTCTCAGAATTACTTCCTGCCGAAATGGGATCCTGTAGGAAGAAAATGTTAGTGTAGTGAAAGTCTCAAGTGGACTAGCTACAGCATTTGTACCTAGCCTCTGTTTGGCGGGAGATGCTCAATTGAAGTTCTTGACTGAAGGTCTAATCTTGATTGAAGTTATTGTCTGAGACTCTGGCCAGAGTGTAGAAGGTGCACCATATCAGTCAATTAGTCTGGAGTTGTGCAGAGCAGTGTAGTTCCAAACCGGTTTCAGGGTGGTACTTGTCAGTTCAGTTGCATCCAGTCCGGTCAGGATGAAGTGGGGCCCCATTTTCTTTCCGAAGTGTTTGACGATTGCTGTTAGGAAATTCTTTGTTCTCTGTGGAAAACTCAAATGTTAATGTCAACAAGGAAATTTCAACTTTTATATGTATGCATACTGGGAAAGGCAACAATAAGGAAGATAGTAAATATGAGGGAAATTAGACTTTCAGAGAAAGAACCAAGTATAAACAGATGTCCCTAAATTTTGTTTTCTTCAAGTATAAACAGATGTACCTAAATTTTGTTTTCTTCTGTCTTACATCAATTGGCTCCTTGATATAATACAGAAACTCTGAATTTTATTTTAGCAATATGCTTGGATTTAGAGGTGGAGAGCCAAATCCAGCTCCAAAGCTAGCTTTGGTTTAAGTGAATGGGGACCAAAAGAGTATTGGGAAGTAAAGAGAAATAGATTTTATAAGGACATCAGTTAAGAAAATAGACATTGATACTAAATATCAGATTCTTTTCTGTTTGATGATTCTTTGGGTAACCATCCTCTCTTCTTTAGGTATCTATGTGTTCAGTGTCTTCTTGCCTTTTGGTGATGGGTTTTCCTGTTAGGACAAAAACAAAACTCTTCCCTCTCCTTTTGTGAGGTCTCCTTACATCTCATAGAATATGACTTTGCGGATGAGCTGTCATCTTTTCTCCTCCCAAGGTTTCTTCTGTTTGGATCGAATCTTGATCAATTTGGATGGAATCTAAAGTTTTTCTTCTCCTGCGGAAACAAAGGTGAAACCCCTTCCCCAACGTATCGCATACCCTGGTTTCCAAACTGAGGTTATTATATCCTTAATATGCACTGGCTGATTTAGTTCAGTGTCTTTCTGCAGCCGTTTGTCTACAATGCTGATAATCACCTTATTATTCACCCTAACTGCTAGTTTGGGTCTGTGATCCTGTATAGAAGTTTGCCAAAATATATGTTTTTTGTTTCCTCCAGTTAACGATTGGTTTATCCTCAGTAGCTAATTTATCATCCAGAATGCTATTATTCTTTACAATAGGCAGTGGATCTTCTAATTGTCCTGGGAGAGATTGTCCTATACAGTCACTGGGAATGAGCGAAACACTTTTGAAATAGGGGCCTTTGAGAGGGCCCCCCAAGGAATTTCCTGATTTTAAAGGGTTACCTTGTCTGTCTGTGGTTGACCTATATTCTTTGATCCAGTGTTGTCCTTTGCCACATTTCCTAAATAATCCAGAAGACTGAGGCCTTCTGTTTGAATCATTCCTAGGAGGAACATTATTTCTAGGTATGCTTTGCCTACAATTTCTTCGTAGATGTCCAATTCTACCACAGTTAAACATCTGGTATTTCAATGTCTTTTTAAACCTCTGGAGATTGCTTCTCTTCCCCAAGTTTCTATATCCACACGTTTAAGGCATTTGGCATCTTGGTGCTTCTTCAAACCTTTAGAAATTGCCTCTCCTACACAAACTTCTATATCTTGATCTTTATACTCAATATTAGCTGTATACAAGAGCCATTCGTCCAATGGTGCTGATCTGAATTTCAATGGCCAAAGTACCTGTTTGCAATGTGGATTTGCATTCTCATAAGTTAGAGATTCTATAAGTATTTTCCTAGAATCTGAGTCAGTCACCTGTTATTCTACTGTTCTTGAAAGTCTTTCCAAAAATTCAGTGAACTTTTCTCTTGGACCCTGTACCACCGTGTTATAAGATTCTATTTTCTCTCCTGATTCATGAGTCTTATTCAAAGCATTCAGAGCTGCTGTATGGCATAAAGACAAGATGTGTTCATTATACACAGCCTGAGCTTGTGGGTCAGCATAAGTACCCTCACCAAGAATTTATCTTGGGGAGCGTCATAACCTTTCTTTAAACCTTGAAGCTCAAGGGCTTTTGTTTCTTCCCTCCATAAAGCTCTCCGTTGTATTTGAGATGAATTTTCTAGCATAACTGAGATCAATTGACTCTAATCCTTAGGGGTCACTCTTGCTTGCCCAAGAGTTGCGAAATCTCTGATATAAGGAGAGTAAATACCATAAGAAACAATGGCTTGTTTGATTCCCTTCAGGTCTTTTCATCTGTATTGGTTCCCATTGGTAAGCAGCGAAACCATTTGGATGCTTCTTCATTGCTGGTTTGTCAGACATAGATACTGGGAAGACCATAGGAGATGGCATAACAACCTTAGGAAGATCTTCCCGGTGTCTGAGAGGTGTAGGTAAACCCTTGTCATTACCTGCTGCTAATACTTCTGATTCTGATGTATCAGATTGTAGGTCATCTAAGAAAAATTAGAAACAAGCTTTTTTTTTACATGTCAATCCCAGTTCTCTCTCCTTCCCCTCCTCCCCTACCCCCCACTAATCCCTATCCCATCCCCTTTCTTTCTGCTTGACAGGTTTTTTTGTTTTTTTTAAAATTTTATTTAGCTGGGACATGTTGCAGCTAGAAAGCTCGGCTTACACAGTGTTGAGCACTCCTAGTACATACACAGACAATACCTGCTAATGTGTAAAACTTGACTTAATAGTAGAGAGAAGTCCTGTGTTTTATCTCAAATGTTTTATTTAAAATGCTCCTCTGGGAGCTGGAGAGATGGCTCAGAGGTTAAGAGCACTGACTGTTCTTCCAGAGGTCCTGAGTTCAATTCCCAGCAACCACATGGTGGTTCACAACCATCTGTAATGAAATCTAGTGCCCTCTTCTGGAGTGTAGGCAGAACACCGTATACTTAATTATAAATAAATAAAATCTTTAAAAAGAAATGCTCCTCTCCTTCCCTCTCTCTCTCCTCCCTCCCTTGCTCCACCTTCCCTGCATATCTGTGTCACACTTGTATGGATATACATGCATGTATGTGCACATACATGTGGAGGCTAGAGGTTGTCTTTGGTGTCTTCCTTGTATATATTGGGCTGGGTCTCTCTCCTGTACCTAGAGCTTGAGTCTTCTGCTAGTCCAGCTGGTAGACTCCTGGAGAGATTCACTTGTGTAGGGACCACAGGCAAATCAGATGGCAGTTCATATGGATGCTGAGGAGTGGAACTCAATGAAAAGTGCTTTTTCTACTGAGCCATTCATTTCCCCAGACACTTAAAGTGCTTTTCTGAAGTCACTGGATTGGTGAGAAAGCAGGACTTGAGCAGCTTACTATTTTTAGCAATATTTAGTTAATTCTTTGAGAATTTTGTTTATTTTGGACCTGTTCATCCCCTTTCTCCGCTTCTCTACCTATCTAGCTTCAAGTTGCTTCTTTCTCTCTATTTAAGAAGTCCATTGAGTCCAGCTGGGTTGACCTGTGTGTGAGATACATCCCGAATGTGGTCAGTATATCAGTGTCATACCATTGAAGGAAACTGAGTCCCTCTCCCAGCAGCAACCAGTTGCCAATAGTTCCTCAGCTAGACGTGGGGATTGTGCCTACCTCCTCCATGTGGGGAATAAAGGGATTTAAAAAAAAATTATTCATTTGAGTGGTTCTAAGCCATTTTCTCTTTTACTGT